GAGGAGAGAACCCAGGAGTCCGGGCTCTCAGCCCCCCCCGCTCTAACCCCCCAGCCCCCATTTCCCTCCCAGAACTGGGGAGAGAACCCAGGAGTCCAGGCTCTCAGCCCCCCCACTCTGACCACCAGCCCCCACTCTGCTCCCAGAGCCAGGAGAGAACCCAGGAGTCCTGGCTCCCAGCCCCCCACTCTGACCACCAGCCCCCACTCTGCTCCCAGAGCCGGGAGAGAACCCAGGAGTCCTGGGGGGGGGACGGGACCCAGGCATCCGGGCTGACCTGGTTGATGAAGTGCAGTAGGTGGCTGAAGACCGAGGGGCTGTCGAAAAGGCCGTGAACGACCACGACCGGCTTGTAGGAGGCACCGAGGGTGAGGAGGAAGAGGAGGAGGAGGCAGAGGGGGGCCAGCACCCCCCAGTTCCTCTGGGGTCGGCCCATCATCCTGGAATCGAACCGCGGCGCAGGGGGGTCTGGGCAGGAGAGAGACACATGTTGAGGTTCACCCCCAGATCCCTCCACCGCACCCCCGTTTTGCAAGCAGGGAGGAGAGAACCCAGGGGTCCGGCCTCCCAGTCCCCCCTGCTCTAACCCACCAGCCCCCACCCCCCTCCCAGCGCCGGGGTGGAACCCAGGAGTCCGGGCTCCCAGCTCCCCCCTACCCCCAGCGCTGGGGTGGGACCCAGGAGTCCGGGTCCCCAATGGGGGTGCAGGGCAGATCACTTCACCCCCTTTCTCCGCCCCCCCCCGCGCTCTGGGGAAGGGGCCCTTTGAGGGTCACCCCCCACTGCAAAGTTTCTAGCCCCCCCCCGCCTCTGTCCCCTGCAGCCAGCCGGGTCCGTCCCCCCGTAATGCACCCGGGGGGCTCCGGGGAGGACCCCAAACTCCCTCGCACCCCCGGGGGGGGGGGTTAAGTCCCCCCCCTTCAGGGGCCAGGACTCCTGGGTCCGCTCCCCCGGAATGCAGCGCGGCTGCCCCTCCCCCACTGCCGGGGGGGGCGGGTCTCACCTGAGCGGGGCCCCCCCGCGATCCGGCCGGTGCCTTGTTTACTTCCCGTCCCGGGCGAGCGGCCCCCCCGCCCCCGCGTCAGTTCCGGAACCCGGCCCCGGCAACCGCGCAGCTTCCCTAGCAACGGATGTATGAGCATTCCATCCCCGCCCCCCCCCACGGGGCCGGGCCGAGAACCCAGGAGTCCGGGCTCCCAGCTCCCCCTTCCCTCCCGTCCCGGAGCCGGGGAGAGAACCCAGGAATCCGGCCTCCCAGATTCCCCCTCCCCCGCCGTCCTGGGGCTGGGCAGAGAACCCAGGAGTCCGGGCTCCCAGATCCCCCTCCCCTCCCGGAGCCTGGGAGAGAACCCAGGAGTCCAGGCTCACATCTCCCTCCCCCACCCCCCCCCCAGCTGAGGAGAGAGAACCCAGGCGTCCTGGCACCCGGCCCGCTCTCCAGGAGCCGGCTGGCACACGAGCCCGTTTGCAGGGCAAACACTGGGCGCTGGGAAGGGCTTGTCAAGAGGCGGCTGGAGAGGCTGGGAAGGAGATGGGGAAACCCGGGGAAAAGCCGGAACTGGCCCCGGGCCGAGTCCTGCGGCGCCGGCCTGGGGCAGGGGGCTGGGCTGGGTGGGCACCGCTGGGGGCCGACAGCCACTGAACCAAGCCGGACCCCCGGGCGGGATGGGGGTGCGTCCCCCTCGTTCCAGCCCCTCTGCCCTGCAGGCCAAGGAATTGCTGGGCCAGCCCCAGGGCTACGAAGGGCCCAGGACTGGGGGGATCACACCCCCCTCCCCACACCGGGATCTCCCGTGACACGAGCCAGGCCGGCGAATTGCTCGCCCAGCGCCCTCCCGCCCCGGGTCACACGTTCATTTCGTGCCATTGCCCGAGCGATGCGGCTGGTCACGGTGACGGGCGAGGCCTTGTCAAAGCCATGAGTGTTACGGGTCCTGCAAGAATAGGGTGACCAGGGGTCCTGGTTTATAGGGACAGTCCAGATTTGGGGCTTTTTCTTATATCGGCTCCTATTACCCCCCACCCCCTCCTGCTTTTTCACACTTGCTGTCTGGTCACCCTGTGCAAGAATCGAACACCAGCCGGCTGCAGATACAGGGATGTTAATTAGCACGACGTCGGAGTCAGGCAGTATTAGTCTGAAAGATGCATTCATGCCAGAGAACTGCCCAATAATCGAATCGCTACCCAGCGCCAGTAAGAGTCACACAATCACAACACAGGGGTTAATACACCAGCAACGGCCTCAACACAGATATTAACACAAACGCCGCAAAATCGCATAATAATCAAATCCGACAGGCAAATATACAGCGCCACTAACTCATATTAACGCATGGATAATAAACCAGAGCTAATAGAGATGAAATCAAGATGTAGTCGCTACTGTTTCTGTCCAACAATCAATATACGGACGCATTTACACACTGAAAAGCCTGATGAAAAAGGCTCATTAATGACTATTTCAGTGCACGAGTCTAAGAAATAAACCGATGTATCGATTTGAGCCGCAGTGAGACTGATGGAAAATGATTCCTATGTCTACCCAATAACCGACTAGCCGTCCGTCCGAACGGGTCAGAACAGAACGGAAACATTCGCCGACTCTACGCAGAACAAAGAACTCTCCAGGTGTATTTATTAACGCAAACGAGTCTGACGAAAAAAACGTCTTTATGCACAATAGGATGACAGGTTTCAGAGTAGCAGCCGTGTTAGTCTGTATCCGCAAAAAGAACAGGAGTACTTGTGGCACCTTAGAGACTAACGTCCGAAGAAGTGGGCTGTAGCCCAGGAAAGCTTATGCTCTAATAAATGTGTTAGTCTCTAAGGTGCCACAAGTCCTCCTGTTCTTCTTTTAATAGGATGATAATAAAACAGACTTGCTAACGAGTCTTTGTGCACAAGCAGCTCAGAGCTACGGACTGTATCTATTAAAACAACGACAGATCTAAGAATCTCTACTCACGATCAAAGGGAGTTTGAGAGAATCGATATATTAATTACCGGGCGTGTCCAATGACCTAACACATCCACCGCTGTATTATTTGGGCAGTAATGAATAGTCCGAAATACAGCGCGGTTGATTAGCAGGAACAAGAGATCGTTTGCTCAAAGAAAGTCGTATTAATTCTTAGGACTGCGCCGACCTTGGCCCAAGAATCCTGCGAACGCGGTTCGTTACTAGCGAGGCAGTGAACAGATATTGATGACCCTTAGCACACTCATCGGGCCGGGCCGGGCTGAGGTCGGTCCTTACCTCTCCGGGCAGGGCTCCGGGGGGCTGGGGGCTGGGGGCTCTGGTCTGACCAGCACCGCTGCAGCTTTTACAGCCGGATCTTCACAACCAGCTGGGCTTCGCTGCCTCCGACTGGGACCGGGGTCGCAAAGGGGAACCGGGGTCGCAAAGGGGAACCAGGATCGCAAAGGGGAACCGGGATCACAAAGGGGAACCGGGATCACAAAGGGGAACCGGGGTCCACACCACATAAGAAACTTCCTCAGACCGGGACTCAGATGTGTTAAGTGCCCTGAGAGGGAAGTGGGGGCTGGTGGTTACAGCCGGGGGGGGGGGGCTGGGCACCAGGACTCCTGGGTTCTCTCCCCGGCACTGGCAGGGGTTTGGGGTTTCCTGACACTCACCCCATGACACAAACCCGCCCCTGGAAAGCATGAACCGGCTCCGGACACGCCAATGACCGGTGAGAGCTCGGGAAAGGGAAGGGTCGGGGCCTGGCCGGGACTTTCCAGGAGCCGCGTCGACCTTTCCAGGGTGTCACGGAACAAAAACATGAGTCTGGTTCCCCTCCAACGCCCGAGAAAAGGGGAACAGCAATTCCACTGCCTCAGTTCTAGGGTCATTATGGGGGCAGTGGCCAAGATCGGGGTCCTGTCGTGCCGAGCTCCGCCCAGACCCCAGCCGAGATCAGGGCCCCGTCGTGCCGGGCTCCGCCCAGACCCCAGGCGAGATCAGGGCCCCGTCGTGCCGGGCTCCGCCCAGACCCCAGCCGAGATCGGGGCCCCGTCGTGCCGGGCTCCGCCCAGACCCCAGCCAAGATCGGGACCCCGTTGGGCCGGGCGCCGGCCAGACCCCAACCGAGATAAGGGCCCTGTCGCGCCGGGCACCGCCCAGACTCCAACCAAGATCGGGGCCGAGGCCCGCCGGGCGCCGCCCAGACCCCAGCCAAGATCGGGGCCCCATCACGACGGGGTGTGACTCTCTGAGAGCCGGTCCCCGGAGCCTAGGAGCTGACAGTCTCACTAGACACAGGAAGGATCATTATCCCCACTTGGGGAAACTGAGGCAGGGAGCAATTCCGTGATTGGCCCAAAGTCCCAAAGACGGTCTGCGGCTGAGCTGGAGAGAGAACCCAGGAGTCCTGGTTCCCAGCCCCCCCTGCTCTAACCCACCAGCCCCCACTCCACTCCCAGAGCTGGGGAGAGAACCCAGGAGTCCTGGCTCCCAGCCCACCCTGCTCTAACCCACCAGCCCC